ATTTGTGTCGTCAGATTTAAAAAAAACGTTCAAATCAAAAGACTTTTACTTTTAGCAGTTATGGTAAACCAGAACTAAACCAGGACTAAACCAGGTCTAAACCAGGTCTAAGCCAGGACTGAGCCAGGACTAAACCAGGACTGAACCAGGTCTAAACCAGGACTGAACCAGGTCTAAACCAGGACTGCCAGGACTGAACAGGACTGAACCAGGACTGAGCCAGGACTGAGCCAGGACTAAACCAGGACTAAACCAGGTCTAAACCAGGACTGAGCCAGGACTGAGCCAGGACTGAACCAGGTCTAAACCAGGACTGAGCCAGGACTGAACCAGACTGCCAGGACTGACCAGGACTGAAACCAGGACTAACCACTGAACCAGGACTGAACCAGGACTAAACCAGGTCTAAACCAGGACTGAGCCAGGACTAAACCAGACTAAACCAGGACTAAACCAGGACTGAGCCAAACTGAGCCAGGACTGAACCAGGACTAAACCAGGTCTAAACCAGGACTGAGCCAGGACTGAACCAGGACTAACCAGGACTCCAGGACTGACCAGGACTGAACCAGGTAAACCAGGACTGAGCCAGGACTGAGCCAGGTCTAAACCAGGACTAAACCAGGTCTAAACCAGGACTGAGCCAGGACTGAGCCAGGTCTAAACCAGGACTAAACCAGGTCTAAACCTAGGACTGAGCCAGGACTAAACTGTTTTCAATCCAGGTCGAAGTCCTGGTCTAAGTCCTGGTCTCAGTCCCGGTCTCAATCCCAGTCTCAGTCCTGGTCCTGTTCTCGGTCTCAGTCCCGGTCTCAGTCCCGGTCTCAGTCGGTCGGTCTCAGTCCTGGTCTCAGTCCCTGGTCTCAGTCCTGGTCTGGTTCCAATCTGGTCCCAGTCTTGGTTCAGTCCATTATCAATTTTTTCCATTTTTCATTTAAACACAAAATCAAAAACTGAACAAACGAATCATTATCTGTTTTTTCATTTTGGTTTTGGAGACAAATAATGAAGAAAATAGTTGTTGTTTTTTTTGTCATTTTCTTATTTTTGGTTTTATTTTGAAAAACGAATGACACACGCATTCGTCAGGCTTGGAGTCTCATCAGCGGAGGAAAAGTGAGGTTAGAGTTTATTCATATTTGGGGGGATGGATGTATTCAGGACAAACTGGAGGAGTTATTGAAATGATTATCAAAGAAATGTCCGAGCGTGACTGCAGACGGTCCCGACTCCAACGTCAATGAAAAACAAAGAGCCTGCGAGAAAAATACAAGGAGGATAAAGACTCGAACAAACGAAGTGACCGTAGACGTGTGACCTGAACATTTTACCAACAACTGGACCAGATTTTGGGACACGAGCCCAGAGTTTAGACGACTCCCGTAAACACTGAGCACTAGTGTTATACGTTTTTTACAACCTCTATTCCCTGTATCATATTTTGATGAACTTTTGGCTGATGTTCGCTGTGGCTGTAGTCGTGAATGTTTTAATCTAAACATACAGAGAACCTGATATTTGTTAATTAGCCCTGGGATAACGTTACGTCTGATGTTCGCCAACTGGCTCCACTATGTTTTCTAACATATAGGTGCAATTTCCCGTTCAAAGGAGGTGTTTCTACACAATATTATACAGCAGCGTTCGGTTCCCGAATTCAAGACATTTTTACAATAGATTTTAATTAACCCACTTGTTGTTCTGTTGTAGCTTCTTGTGCTTTTACTCTGTTTTTACTCTGCTACAAACTTGAGCTGCGCAGTCTTGATCTTGATCGATGTTTCTTCTGCTCGATGAATAATGTCTGTGAAGTGATGACGTATTTTTGACAGTAAAGTTCCGTCTGTGAATTCGTATTCGTACTGATGAAAGCGTAATCGTAAATTTTCATTTCGTGACTGTAATTCATGACGTTGTAATTTTTCAATTCGTATTCTGATGGATAAAATACACACAATATATTTTACGTACGACTGGACTCATTTGAGAGTTTACAAATATTTATTTTATGCGCAACTACAGCCAAATATGCACGGATTTACCAAATACGCATGGATTTCTATTTTATGCACACGAATATTTTTGACAGCTTTCTTACTCCATAGGAATTGACCTTCAGTTGGTCATATTTTTGACAAAAGTCCCCCCGGACTCAAAATGAAGTTTTGGTAAAGTCTCCCAACAACCAGAATAAAACTGTTAGAAGGTTCATATCTGTTCAATCATAAAATAACCAAAGGCAATTTTCTCTTTAATCACACAGGAACAAAACACATAATCAGGGTAAAGATCAGATAAAATACAAAACTAAACGTCAAAAAATGATGATTGTCAGTGAATCGAATGGTTTATAAAGTGAAACAAGAATAGAAAGTGAAACTCCAGTTTATTATGACGACAGTACAACTTTTTATTGATCCATTTTCAGTCACATTGACTTGTAATGGTCCTTGTGAGAACTTAACACGGTTTCACGTTTGTTACGACCCAGCTCGTTTGGGGTCAGGGAAGTAAGAAAAATAAAAACCAAGATGTAAAATGGAATAAATTAAATAATGTTTAACAGGAAGGTAAAAGGTAAATTAACAAAAGACTAAAAATATACAGAAAGCAACGTAAATTAAGAAACAGAATGTGGGGAAGCTGGCCCAAGTGGTCAAAATGAGAGTCCAGTGCAAAGTTGTCCTTCACCAAACCAAATTCTTTATTGGATCCTTCCAAGTCGTGGGCAAAATTATATACATATTTACAAAAAAAGAACTGTGCTTAACTAAACAAAAGCAACAGAAAATAACGCAACAAAAGAAAATACCCACAGGCACCTGGCTGCACTGATGGTGACCTCCCTACTGATTAAACTGCCTCTACTTATATACCCCCCAGAGAGGAAGCCCCTCCCCCTGGGTCCACACCAACTTACGGGGAAAACTGTAGCAATTTCCTTTCCTTACTGGTGTGCTGCCTTAAATTATTTTCTGAAGCCTAATCCCCCTTTTAAACTGAACAGTGTCCAACTTAACTAGATACACTGAAACCAAAACTCTAATAACCCATTTGATAAAACAAAGAACCATTTCCGAGGCTTCCCTCCACATGGTCTGGGCCAACACCTCCCCCTGAGCCTATAAATATGGCTGCCAAAGGACACGCCCCCTCTTTTGTTCCCAGACCATGTGGAGTCACAGGTAAAGGTGGTAAGTTTAAACAAAAATGAAGGGATATAACCAAATAAAATGAATTTAAAGTAACTGTGTGAATGTGATCAATTAAACAAAGACTAAATAAAACAAACCCGGGATAGTTATTATTTAGCTGTTTAGTTGATATAGATGGATGTAACTGAACTAGGGTGAAAAATGGGGACAAAGGCCGTCTTTGTCACACAGAACAACAGAATAAACGGAGTTTTGTGCCAGAAAAAGGGTCACGCAGGCGCACACAAAAACGAGTGGTAAAACTTAGGGACACAGACTAAACCAAAACACAAGTTCCCCAAATTAAACCACATAAACCCACAAACAGAATCAAGTGACCAAACAGGTCGAACAGGTGCTGGTCGTCTCCTTAAATAGTTGGAGGTGGCTGCAGGTGAGGTGGGCGTCGACCTGCCCCACCAATCACAGACCAGGGCTCCTGCAGCACAAATCCAGGTGTGTCAGACTTATTTAGAAAACACAGAACAAACTGGAACTAAGGCCTGGGGCTGTAACAACATTTCATATCATTGGCTGTAATGTGTATTTAATATTTTTTTGTTTGGGTTAGGGTTGGGGGTTCAAAAAGTTATGACCTTACAGAACACGCTCGCTTTTGGACCGTTTAATGAGTGTGTACACATGCACATCAATAACCCGGTTATTAGCCATACCCCGGTTCTGTCAGTGTTCGTGTTACTGTGTTTACATGAGCACTGAGAAACCGGGACACTCATATTCGCGTGTACATGATCAAATGGAGTGTCCCGGTTTCTTGACATAATCTTACAAATGCGCAGGCGCAGAAATGAACTTAAATCAATTTCATAAACCAGGAAAAATACAAACCGTGAGCTCCTTTAGCATAAGAAGCTAAGGAGCTACGAGATCTCCCACAATCCACTGTGCAGATTCTTCATTAAAATCTTCTCATAAATAAACTCAACTTTACAACATATAAACCATAAACACTATAGACACATCAGCCCGTTTGATCAGATCATTCAGCTGTGATCACATTTGTTTACGTTTTACAGAAATGAAACTTAAGACCGTTTGGCTAATTAGCATAAACTGTTAGCGGCGATAAAAAACAACTCGCTCCTTGCGCCGCTGATGCGATCAGTTTCTTTTGGACTAAATGACTCGACTCTGTGGATTATGTGTGTTATTTCTGTGACAGAAGAGGTGCTGATGATGGTGAGTGTGTTCCGTGCGTATAGAGTATAGGAGATAGTTCATGTTTTAGCTTTTCAGCGTCACACGAGTGCAGATTGTACGTGTGCAGGTTTAGTTCAGCTCTTAATTTTACAGTCATTTCACTCGTTTGGTCACTTTATTTATGTTGGTCAATTTATTTATGTCACTACTGTTGTGGTGAAAGGCTGGAAAGTGTCTTTTGGACGCATGCGACTCAACTTTATGTTGCAGTAACCGGGGATACTGCGTTTACATGACACAAGTATCCTGGTTACTGTTGGAATAAACCAGCTACAGTAACCTGGTTTCTAATAACCGGGACACTGCCATAACCGGGTTACTGAAACCGGGTTACTGTGTTTACATGCACCATCAAGAAACCGGGATACTCAAAAAACCCGATCATAACCGGGTTATTGATGTGCATGTAAACGCACTCAATGTTCTCACTGGAGTCACATACAAGTCACATTTAACTGGAAATGTAAACGACCTCGAAAAAACATCGGATTTCACAAAAAAATTCCTAATTGAACATTAAGCCCTGCAGTCTGAACGTAGACGTAGACATGATCCTGACCCGTCCCTCGTCTCTGTCTGTCGCAGGCGTCTTGGAGCTGTTCTCCGTGTCTCAGGGCGTCATCGGGATCAGAGGAGTTCACGCCGACAGATACATGTGCATGAACCACCGAGGAAGACTCCACGCCACGGTACGGACCAGGACTGGACCAGGACTAAACCAGGACTAAACCAGGACTAAACCAGGACTAGGACCAGGACTAAACCAGGACTGAACCAGGACTAAACCAGGACTGAACCAGGACAGGACTAAACCAGGACTGAACCAGGACTAAACCAGGACTAAACCAGGACTACCAGGACTGAACCAGGACTAAACCAGGACTAAACCAGGACTAAACCAGGACTAACCAGGAACCAGGACTAAACCAGGACTGAACCAGGACTAAACCAGGACTAAACCAGGACTAAACAGGACTAAACCAGGACTAAACCAGGACTGACTAAACCAGGACTAAACCAGGAACCAGGACTGAACCAGGACTCCAGGAACCAGGACTAAACCAGGACTAAACCAGGACTAAACCAGGACTAAACCAGGACTAAACCAGGACTAAACCAGGACTAAACCAGGACTAAACCAGGACTAAAACCAGGACTAAACCAGGACTAAACCAGGACTGAACCAGGACTAAACCAGGACTAAACCAGGACTAAACCAGGACTGAACCAGGACTAAACCAGGACTAAACCAGGACTAAACCAGGACTAACCAGGACTAAACCAGGACTAAAACCAGGACTAAACCAGGACTGAACCAGGACTAAACCAGGACTAAACCAGGACTGAACCAGGACTAAACCAGGACTAAACCAGGACTAAACCAGGACTAACCAGGAAAACCAGGACTAAACCAGGACTAAACCAGGACTAAACCAGGACTAAACCAGGACTGAACCAGGACTAAACCAGGACTAAACCAGGACTAAACCAGGACTAAACCAGGACTAAACCAGGACTGAACCAGGACTAAACCAGGACTGAAACCAGGACTCAGGACTAAACCAGGACTAAACCAGGACTAAACCAGGACTAAACCAGGACTAAACCAGGACTAAACCAGGACTGAACCAGGACTAAACCAGGACTAAACCAGGACTAAACCAGGACTAAACCAGGACTGAACCAGGACTAAACCAGGGACCAGGACTAAACCAGGACTAAACTCAGGACTAAACCCAGGACTGAACCAGGACCAGGACCAGGACTAAACCAGGACTAAAACCAGGACTAAACCAGGACTGACTAAACCAGGACTAAACCAGGACTAAACTCAGGACTAAACCCAGGGACTGAACCAGGAGGACTAAACCAGGACTAAACCAGGACTCAGGACTAAACCAGGACTAAACCAGGAACCAGGACTAAACCAGGACTAAACCAGGACTGAACCAGGACTAAACCAGGACTAAACCAGGACTAAACCAGGACTAAACCAGGACTCAGGACTAAACCAGGACTAAACCAGGACTAAACCAGGACTAAACCAGACTGAACCAGGACTAAACCAGGACTAAACCAGGACTAAACCAGGACTAAACCAGGACTGAACCAGGAACCAGGACTAAACCAGGACTAAACCAGGACTAAAACCAGGACTAGGACTGGACCAGGACTAAACCAGGACTAAACCAGGACTAAACCAGGACTAAACCAGGACTAAACCAGGACTAAACCAGGACTGAACCAGGACTAAACCAGGATTAAACAAGGTCTAAACCAAGATTAACCCAAGACTAAACCAGGACTAAACCAGGACTAAACCAGGACTAAACCAGGACTAAACAGTTTACTCATCATGTTTCACTTCTGTCCTGTCATAAAAACCCTTTGATTAGTTTTTAGTCTTTAGTCTGGCCCACAGAGCGATGGACTAAACCAGGACTCAGATCGATTTTAGAAATAATCCACAGCATTAAACCAGATCTGAAGTGGGTTTAAACCGGACCCACGCGCGGTCTAAACCCGGTCTGGAGCGCGACATGTATTTACATCGGCATTCCGTCGCTCCGGCCTCTGATAACACCGTCGGGGTTATGCTAAAAGCGCAGATCCGGTGTCCACTTCAGTCGCATGCACTTCATATTTGGAGGATTTAAAAGCTCAGGAGCCTCGGGGGGACGGGCCGTGGGGGGGGGGGGGGTATGTGGGGCATCCAGCACACGCCGTCCTCCTCCACACACACACACACACACACTGACAGACACTAGAGCTGTAACTGTATTGAGAAGTAAAACAATGCACTGTGCAACCCAACATTTTACTACGCGACGTTTGGTAGTGGCTTAGTGTTTAAACTTGAAGTTACCTGCTTTTACTACTCGCTTCAGTCATAGACGTATACAGTGATCCCTCGCTATATCGCGCTTCACCTATCGCGGCCTCGCTGCTTCGCGGAATTTTTTACAGTGCTTTATTTTTTACAGTGAATCCTGATTGGCTTAGGGGCGTTACTGTTGTCTAGAAGTGAAAAAGGTTTATATTGGTTTTTCATTACACCCATGCCAACAGTTTTCGTTTCTGTACATTCTGCCAAATTTACGTTCGCAAATTTTTCTCCGTGACAAAACCCACAATGTCAAAGAAACGTTCTGGATGTCCGTTTATAAAAATCTTCTTGCTCAGAAAAAGAAAGAGGCCAACAACTACCCATAACGATGTTCTTCTCTCGGAGAAAGACCCCTGCGCAGCCTTCAGTAGAAAAAGACGCTACAGCGCAGCGGAGTCAGGACGAAGAGGCGCAGCTGGAGGGACTGTGAAATACGCGAGTGACAATGTTTCCCACCTTGTATTCATTACTACAACTAACACCGTTCTTTAAACTATTATAGTTATTTGTAAGAAAACGTTAATATTTCTATTTCTTTAACACATGTTGGGCCTGAAAAGAGGTTTTATTTTTTGTTTCATTCTGCAGTTCAGTATTGCATTGTAAAATCACAGTAAAAAAATAAAGCTGACTACTTCGCGGATTTCACCTATTGCGGGTTATTTTTGGAACGTATCCCCCGCGATAAACGAGGGTTCACTGTAAACATCTACACATGTCTATGGGTTCAATGATAACATCAATGTACAAGTATTACTGTGACGTATGTTAGACCAGATGTGGACAGTTCCTCGTGGAAGGAAAAGAAAACAGGAGGCGTTCCCGTTTATGGAAGAAACACCCGTTTATGTTCTACAGACTGATGATGTTGCTCGGAGGAGGCGTCGCCGTTGTACAGTGTCTTGGCGACTTGGTTTGCTGACCTTGTGGATATGATTCCTGCTGCCTCGTCCCTTATCTTTCCTCGCCCCTTTGCCACAACTTTCCTCTTACACCACAGCAGCTACCGTGACATCGTTGCTTCCTCCCAATCACAAAACTGAAGTCATTTTACCAAAACTCCTAAAAACTGCCTCCATTTCCTGCCCTGCACCATATATATATATTTTTTTTTTTACGTCACTTCAAAATAGGGATTTCAGAGCAATGACATCTGTTCCATGGCTTTTTCAGTGAAGCTGAGGCTGATCGGACGCAGCGCAGAGAATAGAGCCTGATAAAGGCAGAACTATTCAATCGTCTAATGTAGATTTTCTGCCACAAAACTTATGCCTCAAATCTTTGGCGTTTAAACTGTAACAGCGCTTGGGGGTCATAGCGCAAATCGACGGGTAGGTCATTTCGACAAGACACCGGCTCCATCTACGCTACAATTCACTTTGTATTGAAAAAAAACGTCGCACCTCCTTTCCAGATTCCTCCATGACTCTCTCTGTGTGATCCTGATGTTTGAGTTTTGCTCTTTTGTCCATAAACCATTTCTCCTTTGGAACCCGGCTACAAATTCGTCCTAATAACTGAAAGCCTTGTAAACTTTTAAACTGATTATTTGATTTAAGTGACCTCCATTAAAGGTTGTATGGAGGATTTTTTAAAATATTTTTTTTCAAATTGTCAATGAAAGTTAAAAATAGAATTATAAAGAAGAAGCAGCCTTGTAATTATGATGACCAAAAAAAAAAAAAAAAGAAAAGAAAAATCTATCAAGTGTGGACGTAGTGAGGGCAGATAAACATCAGCCAATAGAAAACAAGGCTACCTCTTTATCTATTGGCTGTTAGGTTGTCAATCAAATTCCCTACTTTTCTAGCGTTGCTGACTTGCCGACGCGCTGGGATTGTGTGGTTTATGTTCGCGGTTCATGTTTAGCGGTTCTTGGCGTCTTTTTTGAACTGTAGCTCTCAGTTTGCACAAATTTTGTTTTAATGGCAGAGAAGAATTCACGACCGGTTCGCCACAAAAGAAAGTCAGTTTTTGACGTTGCTAAAAGAAGAAGAGAAGGGGAAAAGGTGCGAAGCGCAACATTTAAAAAAGGACAAACAGTCGCTGCATTTCTCTTTCCTCGGAAAATCTTCTATACAACCTTTAACTATCAGCTATTTGTCCATAAAAATAAAAAAAAGTTAGTGAACCTGAAAAGAATAATGTTGATTTCACTCACAATAAATCAAAGTTTTAAAACTGGGTCAGAATCATGAGTATTTCAGTATTTGTCATAAAGCTGTGAGTCTGTTTATCTCGTCCGCTCCAAATGCCACGCGCTTTCTGTGAACTTTTAAAACATGAGCGAGTTCGTCCCACGGAGCCCAGGATAATCTCCAAAACCCGGAAAACTCGGATCAGTCCAGACCAGAGACCAGAGACCAGAGAGACCAGAGACCAGAGACCAAAGACCAGAGACCAAAGACCAGAGACCAGAGAACAGAGACCAGAGAGACCAAAGAGAGACCAGAGACCAAAGAACCAGAGACCAAGAGACCAGAGACCAGAAAAGACCAGAGACCAAAGACCAGAGACCAGAGAGACCAGAGACCAAAGACCAGAGACCAAAGAGACCAGAGACCAAAGAACAGAGACCAAGAGACCAGAGACCAGAGAGACCAGAGACCAAGAGACCAGAGACCAGAGACCAGAGACCAAAGACCAGAGACCAAGAGACCAGAGACCAGAGACCAGACCAAGACCAGAGACCAGAGACCAAAGACCAGAGACCAAAGACCAGAGACCAGAGACCAAAGACCAGAGACCAGAGACCAGAGACCAAAGACCAGAGACCAGAGACCAGAGAACCAGAGACCAAAG